TGCTAGAAAACGAGATTCAAGTACAGAAAAGTGATTTCTAAGTCTAATAATAGAAATAAAACTATTAAAACAGTCAATATATGCTTCTACTTAAACGTTTTTTGCATAAAAATGTTTGTATATATCAATTTACTGTAGTAAAAGTACATTTAATAACTCTTGTTAATAACTAAAATTGGAAACATTTTATGGGTGATCTTTGAAAGGTGAGTTGTTTATTTGATTATTTTAACATCCTGATTCCTTTGTTTTTAGTATTTTATTAGCCCAATTAACTTTAACCTAAATATGCGGGTCCGTCACGTTTTTGGGTCCCCTTGAAACATTTCCGTTATGTTCCTTGCTATTTGACAGTGTTATGAGAGAATGCAGTGTGTTTTATTGATTTGTCTGTGTGAAAATGCAGCACATTTTTTAAAAATGTGTTTGCGTTGTGAGGATTTGCAGCACTGTCTTGTTAATGAAGATCTTATCTTAATTTGCTGGTGTTTTTTGCAATTGCATGCGTTTTCTTAAATTGTTAAGCTCTCTAACTTAAATGTTAAGCTCTCTCGGCCACCGCAGCACAGAATGTTAAAATAGCAAACTAATAAACTGTATGAAGTAAGTAAATAAATAAATGAGTAGACAAATATTGATTATTCTACACAACACAAGTCATCTTTTCCCCCCCACACAGCTGTTGCCATTTTCTTAAAGCTCTTACAACACACTTTGACCGTGTTGAAATCCCTGTAAAGCATTATCTCTTTTCTTCTCTTACTGTATGCTTGTATTACGATGGGCCAAGGGGCTGTTAGTCCCCATTGCTTGGGCAGCTGTGACAGGCCTGAGCAGCCGTTTAACCCACACAGCACTGAGCAGTGTAGTGAAGGCAGCATCAGGCAGTAACCATAAGGCTCACGGGTCTGACAGCTCCAATCATTGCTGGTTAACTGGGAGAACTGCATTATGTGTTCATCATGTGGACACACACACACACACACACATACACATGATGCTCATGGGACTCGCTGTCTTACTGAATAACTCACTCTTCAGCCTGTGTAGAGATGTGGACTCCTGAGAACATCTGCACATACACACACACACACACACACACACACACACACACACACACACACACACACACAGTTTACGAGGACTCTCCTTAGGTTTAATGTATTTTGTACTGTAAAAACTGCTTATTATATTGCTTTACCCTACCCCTAAACCTCACAGAAAACCTGTTGTAAAATTGGAAAGTCAGAAAATTATAAATAATTTTTTTAATAATTTTGAATTATGAGGACATTAGACATGTCCCCATAAACCATTTCAAGAGCGTAAAACTAGGTCATACCCATGTCATTATACAATTTCATGTCCTTGTAAACCACATAAACAAGTATGCATTTACAAATTTGCACTGATATTGTCTGAACATATCAGATATCTGCTTTTAGGAATAAATCAAGCAAGAGTAAAGGTGTAGTATATGTACTTTTTATGGAAAACGTGGAAATTACACAGCAATTTCCAAATTACAGTAAATAACACTGTAAAAAAATACTTGCCTTAATATTTTTAGTTGTATCAAATTAACTTTTCTAGTCATCTCAACTTATATCAATCAAACAGACAAAATATAATAAGTTAAGCTTTGCAAATATTTAGTTGGTGCCTGATTAGGTTATTAAAATAAGTAACAAACATTTGTAGTCTTGACTTTTTGTCATAATTCTTTCACACTGTCAAGAACCCAAAATAGCTGAATAAAAATGATTGTACAGTTTCTTCTCATTTATTGCTGTTAATCTGGTAATTAGATGCCAAACCAACACAATCTCATGTCAATTTGCAACCTTTTTTTATTATTTAGTGGCTAAATTGTATAAATTTGTGTGACCTCAGTTGTAGTTTTTGGTATGACTTGTTCTTTCCCCAATGATGGTTAAGTTTAGAGATGGGGCTTGAATAGCACATCTCCTTTTTAAAAACCAAAATTTTTTTATGAATAAGATCAGTTACTTTTCTGACATTACGCAACTTTGTTGCTCTTCCTTGTGAGATTGGGCTGGACAAACTCCATTGGATTGTAAGCCAAACTTTCCAGTTTTTGCTGACTTTGCGAGATGGTGAGTCATTATCAAGTAACAGAAACTCTCCAACAGCAGGTTGTCCAAATGCAGGCCAAAGCGATGAACTTTACAGCCAAAGCAAAAGTAGTAGGTCATTTCAGATTTGTGATTTTTTATAAATTGGATCTTTCCTAAGTCACTAACTCATTCAATCTCTCCAAAAAACCTGGGTGTCCACAAAAGACAGCTGGGATTGTTTGTAAGCTTAGTCCTGAACATATTAAGGATCTGTATCTCCACATTTTAAGAGACTAGTCATGTCCTGTGAGAGACCAGAGATTCAATGTTCTCATTTCTTTATAAATGTGTATCACATTTGGTAGCAATTTCTCAAAGAAATAATACATAAGAAGTAATAATATATAATTTGTAATGTTAAACTACTAAAATATCTATAAAAAACACAAACAGTGGCAGTAAAATTCAAGTTTGATGCACTATATAGTGTAATTAATGTTGTAAACTAAGCTGTAGACATCCCTTTAGGTGGTGGTAACCACATATTTGAATCATACATTGGAACTGCTGTTCTGAAACCGCACAGGAAAAATCCCAATGGGTCAAATTACTTAAATGCAAATTCTCTTCTGGGTTTGAACTCAACAGCAATATTGAGGTGGAAAACAACAACAATAATTCTGATGATGATGATGATAATAATAATAATAATAATTATTATCATCATCATCATTTTTTAAATTGAATTCAGATTTAACACATAACCCATCTTAATATATTATTCATGACATTGTATTTCATTGGTGTTATATGAAAGTCATTGCCAAATAGTGATGCATCTTTAACTTGAATGTCAAACACATAACCATGAGCTTGCCTTAAAGATAAACACACCTGTATTTCATCCCACAAGCCCCTGGTCATCTTCTCACCTACAGTGTAAGAGACAGAAACTACAGATGACTTTTTTGCTTCCTTAAAACAATGCAAACTTGTGCACACATGAAAAGACTGATGTGAAGCCTATAGTGGTCATTCACTGATCACCCGAGGCTCTGTCATCTATCACACACACACACACACACACACACACACACACACACTATAATAGCAAAGAGGTAGGAGTTAGGCTAGTACCATCTCAAACAGTTTACTTTTGTACCTAAAGGGCTAATTTTGGTAACTCAGTGGTACATATTAGTACTTAAAAATACAAGAGATACACTTATGTACACTAATATGTACCTTCAAGGCACTATTTCAGACCCTTTAGTAAAATACGTGTGCCAAAAAAAGGTGATGGCTTTGGTATCTTTTCTTCTGAGGATGCATAACAGCTTTGAGAGAGGAAAAAAAAAAGCAAAATAGAGAGATGCAAATACATTTTAGATCAAAGCATATATATATATATATATATATATATATATATATATATATATATATATAAGCAAATTAATATATAGCACCTTCAGGTGTGGTCACATTAGCAACATTTGGGGCCTGCAAATGCAAATGTATTTGGGACAAGCCAGTGCCCCTGTTATCAATAGGTAAAGAAATAAATCATACAAAAGCCCTACATAAACATAAACAGTATTCTAATAATCAGAGCTGCAAATTTGACCAACCTGAATGACCAACTTGGGCCAGAAAAAATCCAATATGGTGAACTTTTTTGCCCTTATCTGAAACTACAGGATGAGTAAATGTGAGTGAATATCACAGTGTGACACTAAATTGGACCAGACCTTTATCAGAAAGTATAAATTGAACACATTTTTTGATCAAAAATCTAAGTAAACAACCAATAATCAAAATTGAATTTATACCTGGAAAACATTGCATTTCAAAGAGAAAACAACATTCAAAGACGATTCCTTGAATTTACTAAAATATTTTAAGTTATGGTTGTAAACAATTATTCTGGGTTGAATTTAAACAAATTAAGTTAAACTTTACTAAATTTAATTTGTTTGTTTAAATTCAACACATATAAATTGACAATTTTTTCAGTGTAAGATAAGTACAATACTTCAAAAATAATTAAAATTGCGTATTTAAACTTTCATTTTTGCACTGATCATGTGATCAACCATGTGATGGCACAAAATATCAGATTTTCTTGCTTTGAATTCAAGAAAATAAACCAAATACTGGGTGATACGGTGGCTCAGTGGACAGCACTGCCTCCTCACAGCAAAGAGGTCGAGATGGTTTGAGTCCCAACTGGGTCAGTTGGCATTTCTGTGTAGAGTTTGCATGTTGTCCCCGTGTTTGCTTGGGTTTCCTCCAGGTGCTCCCGGATATATTTATATATATTGCGATCATGATTTTCGAAAATATTACATCACTTTGCAAACGTTTATTCTTACAATTAGATGATCTCCCCATACAGTTTGATAGAGCGCTTAGACCCGTAAGCCGGATGTGACGTCACACTAAACAAGGAGATTCTGCTGTGGCGACCCCTGATGAATAAAGGGACTAAGCCGAAGGAAAATTAATGAATAAATGACAAAAAATCTGAAATGGAATCCATGGTGTGTAAAGTGTATGGTAACCCTTGGATTTAATTTCTGTTAATTAGTCCTTAATGAATTATATAATGCTATGACCATTTATTTATAGAAATTAAATGATCATCTGTTTACTTTGATACAATCTAATAAAATTGTAAAATTTTATTAATAAAAATTCCAAGAAAACAATCTAAGAATTATCATTATTACTTTCATTTCTTGACATACAAAAATGTATTTCATACAAAAAGAACGAATAACCATGCACTGATTGATAAATCAGCATTATATTTTATTTCTATCATAACTAGTGCTTTGCAAAAACAAACTCTTTCAGAAAAGCAGCGGGGCTTGTGGAACTCCGGAAAAGGAATACAGAAAAAAATACACAATAAAAGAAAGATTATATATATATATATTTATATTTATATACCAACCTCACAGCATTTTCTCAGCAATGACACAATATTTGGCAACCAATAACAACTCTAAAACTTCAAAAGTATAAAACACATGTAAGCATCTTCATCAAATACTATAATATGCATCTTCTACATTAACACTGATGACAGAAAAATATAAAGTGAAAAGAAAGCTGCTGGACTTCAACAGTCATCCCTTTTTCATTCATCCTTCATTCATTTAAAGGACATCAGAGTGCTTTTCTTCATCCTTCACGCATCTAAAGATGTTTGAGTGCATTCCTCCCGAAACTGGCAGCATTACAGACATATGCAGGCGTTATTGAAAGATTAGGAGCCAAACAAAAAAAAAAAAAAACTGCAAGAATTATGCAATGCAAGTTCATTGGAGAGCCCAATAAGAGCCGGCTTGAGAGAGAAACATCTTATGCACACACACGCACACATTTTCAGTCATTCAGAAATAAAACCGTTTAAAACAATTACATACACCTGTGTGTGTCTCGTACCCACATCCATCAATATAGACAAACGTCAGTCCAACAACTTTTACTTTACCTTCTCCCTACAGACAATCAGACGGACGCACATACACATTCAAACACACTTAGGGCAATTCAAACACACTAAATCCCCAGACAATACTCCAGGTGAAAGGCAACACCATGCATATGACACCCGTTAATGATGTCATACACCACCACCCCTCCTTCCCCCATCATATCCTTTCTTTTTTGCTTTCTTTTACTCCTGACTCTTCTATTAAAAAAGACGCCAAGCAGACAAACTCACACACACACAAATAGAGGAGAAGTAAACTGTGTATACTGTATACATTTGTATAATGCCTGTCCAAAAAAGTTTCAGAGGATATATGGAGAACTGAACTAAAGCATACATACATTTATGGATATATATATATTTGAATATGTATGGAAAGATATCGGATGCTACTACTGATATGTGTCTATGCATGGTCATTGTAACACTACAGACTCTGTTAAGGTGATAGTAAACAATACTGATGGAAATAGGAAATAAAATGTCCCATCCAGATATCGATTTGTATCCGCCAAGGTATCCAGTCTCATATCCGTCAGTCCATCCATGAGGACGTCAGTGTGGTGTGTGCAGGTGTGTGTGTGTGTGTGTGTGAAGGTGAACGCTGGTCTTCAGGCAAAGATGGGTCAAAAAGGAAAAACTAAACTGGTGAGTGCTGTACTTTTTTGTCACCTGTGATCTTCATATCTGCCTCTATCTCATAATATCCAGCCCATAATATTTTCTCTCTCCATTTATCTCCATTCTTTATTAACACCTTACATTCTAGGAGGAAAGACAAAGCAGAAGGATATCATGTTTAGCATCTATGTTATGAATGTATGCACTTTTCTTTCACAACATTCTTGATGCTATTTTAATGATTTTATTGACAATTACTATGAAAAAGTTTGCAGAAGACCTTTTCAAACACACCTCCATAGAAGCGACTCAACGCGGTTGATGATGTCAGAGAGGTCAAAGGGGAGGGGCATGTCAGGATCATCATTGCTCCAATAGGGTCTGTCCACAGGTGCTTCCTCAGGGGGCAAAGTCTGCGCCAGGCTGGACTGGCATCTGTTTAACACACAAGGAATCCATAATGTTATAGACTTGACAGTCCTTGATGAAAAAATAAGAATAATTAAAACCTTGAGCAAAAATTCTGGTTGAACTTTATTTTGTTGCATTTACATTCCTAAAAACTATATAAAGTAAATGTTTGGGCTAATTATATATTCTGGGCTTAACCTTGTTTCACACCGCAAGTGCAAGCAGAGCATGAGCAACGCATGAGCAGCACGTATGGAGAACAGAAGCAGTGCGCCTCATCGGGAGCTTCTGCACAAATCAATCTATCTCTATTCTGTCTAGTTACCTATCTACGGTATCTGTAAATACACTTTAAAAAAAAAAAAAAAAGTTTTCATCTGCACCAAGGCCTGCAACAACTTCCTCCTATGCGGTTTCCTTAACCTGCAAGTCTTTATTTTTCAAATTGTATAGATCCTAAAGAACTGCATACTTCTCACACTCTGAGGAGTGTCATTCATGTCTTTTTAGGTGCACTTGCTCAGAAGACGGTCATGTCATTTTGTTTTTGATTGTCAGGATGATGTAGACCTATAGTTATAATGTTTATACAATATAGTTATAATGATATTTATACATGATCAAACTAGTGTGCAACTTTAGGAAAACTAATACTAAAGTTGTTTTAAATTTCATTTTGTAGTTTGAGCCCAAATTAATTTTTGTTGCCATTTTTAGTTGTTTAAGTTCATTTGATTCACTATAAAAAATCTGTGGATCTTATCGATGCATTTATTGGTTAAAACTGCTACTTTTTACTGTTATTCAATATGTGTTCATTTCAATGTGTGTCACTTTAATTGAGCTTGAGCACATAGACCCAGCACCGAAACTATCGCAGCACCACTGCTTCAGCGACGCTCATGCCTGCGTGCTGTCCTGGATCAAATCAAATGTAAATGCAGGTTGCCAGATTGAGGACCAAAAGGAGCGAGTCTAACGATCGAGCCTAAAGGTTGATTTAAATCGTGTTCTATATTAAAGCAATGGCACATGATAGAAGGAATATTCTAGATATCAAAAAGAGTTATTGTTCTACCCAACACCTCAAAATGATATACTAAAAAAACTGTTTTATTTCTTGCAGCTCAATAGAAAACGGACAATGTTTACCTCAGGTACACCTCATGTGCTTTATTCAGTGTTAAATGCTAATAATGTGTGTTTGAATGCCATTTTACATGGCATTTATTGCCTTACTACTGAAAGCAGCAGTAGATAGTTCACCTCAGATCTTGAAAATAAAATAACCGTCAGAAATTGAACTTTATAACTGAGACACAACTTTAGACACATATCAGTGATTCAGCTTCTACATTTAATAATGTATTAATATGTATAATTCGATTATAAACCCTACCATTTTATTGGAGTGCAGTAAGTGTGCTATTCTGTGCTTCTGAACAGCTGCATTTAAAGTCGTGTTTCGTCTGGTGCAAATAGCCCAATTGCTTACTGCTGCAAATCTTGTCATGTAGCGTGTTTTGACACGGGGTTACAGTGTAACCTGCTCACCTAATGTTTATCGTCATAGTATTTATATTATTTGCTAATTAATAACCACCTCACATGGAACTCTGAATCTGCATCACATTTCAGAGTCTACTACTGTCCACCGGAGGTCGCATTACGGTCACAGACGCATGCTTTGAGAGCTGACTGAATAAATGAAATACACAGTTTTCGACCAAGGCAAGCTGCAGAGATGAAATAAAATTGGCTAAAGTGGCATTGGGGGATTTAAAAAACAAAACAAAACAATGACAGCCATTCCGGCACTTAACAGACATTTTCAAAGCAGAATATCTAACTTCAGCATTACAGATGAACAACAATGTTCACTTTGCATGTTTCTTAAATATCTGCAAACATATTATGGTATTTTTAAGCTTTAGAAGAGTCAAAAACTTACATACAGCACCTTTAAGGATGGTTTTAGGTTCTGCTTATACGGTTATTGTGTAGTGACTATGATTTAATATCAATATGTTACAACATGCAATTGTATGTATATGCCAAAGAAGGCTATAAAATGAGGTGTTAACAAGAATCCTGGGGAATAAAAATATGTTTTCTGCAAAAATAAGTGGCGCTTTTTTTTAACACAAATAAAAAATTATCATATTAGAACTATTCCTGAAGTATCATGCATCTCAGATCAAGTCTTAGAATAAATTACATTTAAACATAGATATAAAAATAAAATATGCATGAAAGAAAAAGAAAACAGCACCTTTATGCGATATTAATATTTAAAAAAATGATTGTTTTTGCTCCTTGTTTTAATGAACATTAAAAAAACGACTGACCCAAAACTTTCGAACAGTAGTGTATATACACTAAATATTTCTAAATTGTTGTGAAAACACCTTCGGGCTACTGTGTGTGCTTTCCAGGGAATGTGTGAATAGTTAATTTGGCCCTAAACACACAAAGAAGTGTGTGTTTGTGTAGGGGCAGTCCAGGCGCTCATTTCCTGATTTCTTTATGACACACAATAACCTGCCATAATGACACATTTATAAAGAAGCTCAGGACTGCAGATCTTTTGTGTGTGCGTGTGTGTCTCTCTCTCTCTGTGTGTGTGTGGTACAACATCCTCTCCTTGCTCTTCCTTTGAACGAAGCCTCAGGAATGCACTTCTGCAATCCTACAAGTGTAAGCAGTGTAAATCACCCTCTAAACACACCTGGCCAACGCTGATTAATATCTCAATCATTTACACCTGGGCAGGTGAAGCCTGTGGCTGTAATTCCACAGTAACTTTGATGTTACTGCATTTCATTTTGTCACATAATTAATACAGTGTGGTTTTTCACAAGAATATGACAATACAGCTTCTCATAAATATGACAAAACTGGGCGTGTGAGTGAGACTTATCTGCTTGTTTGTGTGTGCGTGGGTGTGGGTGATACAGATTAAACTTGTTGTAATTATGAATCTAAAATGCTATAAAATGTTTGTGTGAAATTTCAATTGCGTGTAAAGAGAAATCCAAGATTGTGTTCCCTATCAATTAAAGGGGAATTTTTGCTCAGTAAGGCTGCATGTCCACCGAAGCATTTGTTGCTGTTGTCGGTTGTGCTGCATAAACTGTTGAATCATTTAAAAAAATAAACACAGCAGCAATTTGGATTTAAAAGCACCATCAGAGCCGACATTTTAAAAATGTGGCGCTTCCTTTGACGACAGAAAAAAAAAATCAGCCACCATTTCTGCCCTGAAAAAAATGCTTCGTTGGACATGCAGCCTAATAGATTTTTTTTAAAATAGTACACAAACAAAACAACATCAACAACAAAATAAGTAAACTAACAATGAATATGTGACAAGTAGTGCCAGACGAGATCGGCTGACGTTTTTTGCTATTTCTGCGGAGAATTTTGGTAAAAGTCTGCGAATTTCTGCTGTATTATTTTGGGAGTATCAAAAATAAACCTTAGTATATGAAATAAAAATAATATCTTTTTAACTTTTATTTAAAATTTAAAATGCAAATCCAATTAGATTCACTTTATTTGGCGAATAAAGCAAATTTGTCATATGATAAATCTAGTAAAAGACAAATATAGAAAAATAGAAAATATACAAAAAAATAGAAAATATTACTGTACAAACTGCATTGTGCATAAATCAGATGGACAATTTCATATTAATCAATAATATTACTGTAATTAATTAAAAAACTGAATAATTATAGATTTACACACATTTACTTAAGTAAATAAACAGAATTAACGATGGGCTAAAAATCTGCAGAAATCCGCGGAAAATCTGCAGAATTCTACACGCGCAGATTCCGGGTGGGCCTAGTGATAAGTCACTGTTGTTACTACTATATATATAAATCCCTCTACAGAATGGTGTTGCTATATGGCAACATGCTATTATTGTTAATTTTCCATCCACTATTACTTTAAGACTAATGTTCTAATTTTTTTGTTGGAAAGAGAAGACCTTAGTTTAGCCAATGATGTGTTGTGGTTAAGTCACATGACAGACTGGAGTTTATTATGAGGGGTGGCTGAATTCAGATGAAAACATCAATAAAAACAAACAATCAGCTCATGTCAGATCCACAAGAACAATTATTAATGATAAAAAATCTGAGACATCAGCTCCAGTAAGTTATGATGACATATTTACAAAAGGTTTTTATTCAGATTCGTTTTTTTTTTTTTGTAAATCGATCTGCAATAGTGGAATGTGCAATATTGCAATGGGTTAGCTAGCTAGCAAGGTCAGCTGTGATCTTTTAAGTTGTAACAATAACAACATGAATGCTAGTAAATTAATGTTGATAAGTCATGTTAATGCCATTTGCATTATGGATAAAATACATACATTTGATAAGAGCAGTGATGGAGGCAGTTCAGGTAAGTTAGCTCAGAGGCAGGTAATACAGGTGTAGTACAGTAAACAATGTTAGCTAGTTGCTACATTCTTCTGATGCATCTGGATATATTAGACTTCTTATTTATTTGTTATTATACTTACTGGAGGAAATATCTCTGTATGCTGTATACATGATAATACAATATTATATCTGTTTTCAATAATATTCAACAAAAAATAATGGAATAAATAAAAACTGTTGAAATAACAGTTGTTGAAAAGTATGTATAAGGTAAAGTAAAGTAAGGTAAGGTAAAACTCTATTGTCCCAGTTAGGTAAATTTGTCTTGAGTTCTTGCCCTCAGCTGCAGTCACCACATACATAGAAAAACCATACAAACATTAAAAAAAACTGAAAAGTATATAAATACATAAATCTATACCCCCACCCCCAAAAAGTTGCACACCCACACCCATATATACCAATAAATAAATAAAAGCAGAGATATTCTCAGTATAAGCCAACACTATTTAACAGCTTATCACTCACCTGATAAAAATAGTTTTTATCTGTTTAATCTAAGCAAGGTACTCTAAACCTTTTCCCCGAAGATAACAACTCATACTTACTATGCAGAACGTGATAGGT